CATGGTCACTGGAACTTCTTACTCTCCTTGGTTAGTTCAATTTATTGCACTTTTGCCAGTTTCTTTACCCACTAGTTCTTCTTGAATGTTACACCCCCCTTCTGAATTCTGTTTCCTTCTTCCTAAAGTGTATTCTTAAGTGATCCTTACATCATGGTACTAAGAGCAGTAAATATTCAGATTTTACTATCTGGAACCATCTATATCTCCTTCTCTCTTGACGGATAGTTTAGCTGGGTATAAAATTATTGATGGAAAATAATTTCCTTTCAGTAGCTTTGAAGGCATTGACTTCTAAACTGTCATGTTGCTATGGAGAACTGTGCATTGCTCTAGTTGATGCTCACCTTATTTCTCTTTGCTGTTGAGGTCTTGTCTTTGTCTTTAGTGTTCCACATGATGTATACAGGTTCCATGTATTCTTGATTCTTGGATATCCTGCTTGGGACTTATGCAGCTTAAGTCTGAGGATTTATTCTTTTGATCCATTCTGGAAAGTTCTCAGCCTTTCATTATTACCCCTTCCCAATTGCTTTATTTTTGCATTGTGAAACCCAGGTTAAATGTATGCTGGATCTTTTCATTCTGTTTTCCATGTCTCATCTTCATCTCATCTTCTGTATCTAATTTTTTCAGACCAACCTTCTCATTTTTTAGTTGTCTCTTCAGCTCAGTTTATTAGCTGGTCAACTTTCCACAAGGTTTTAATTTCTCACTGCAGATTTTTTTCCCCTCTCACCCAGAGCTTCCTTGTCCTCTCACTGGGGCCACAGGCTGAGTTTTTCTGCCCTCTCTTACCTTCCTGTGTGTATAGCCCTTGAAGGCCCAGCTCTGAGCAGAATTATCAACTTCAACTCAACCCTTACCAGGCACAAGGCTTCATCTCCTGACCTTGTGTGGACAGAAGAGCTCAGGGGTTCGGGCATTTCTGGGCCATGGTCATCCCCAGGGAAGCTGCAGTGTCCACTCATTTCCATCCTGGCTTTCCACTCCCACTTTCCTTTCGGTGCCTGGGGATTTCCCACTTTCTTGTAAGCTCAACTTTGTATTTAATTTTATTTTTACATCACAATTTAGGTGTTTCAATTGGTAGATTAAGCAGTGGGAGTTGAGGGGCTAGTTTGGGCAGAGAGTAGCTGCTAAGAGGAAGAGAAGACAGGCTAGTCTTTGTGATCTCACAGGCAGGGGAAAAAACCCGAGTCCAGTTCAGGCCTGACAGCGCCCACCTGTCTTTGAGGGTCAGGATTATGACAAGGAGCAGGGGAGAGCTGGGTGCTCCATGCTGTCTTCCTTTGGGGCATGTGATGCCTCTCATGAGGCACAGCACTGGAGGCTGAGCATAAAGTGGCTGAAGAGGTAGGGAAAGTTCAGATGACTTTCCCCAAACCTGCCCTGATGACCTCATTCCCAGAGTCAAAAGTGGCCTCGCTCTGAGCAGACCACACACACACACACACACACACACACACACACACACACACCTACATCCCAGGGGCATCTCTTTGAATGCCAAGCTCTCTGGGTTTGTCTCACCTCCCACTCACCTTCATTCCAAGCTCCATCATCCATGCCTGGCTCTCCAGCCCTGCCTGACTCCACACCAACCCACCTAAAGTGTGAGCTCAGGCCTCACTTCCCTCTACCCAGTCCCGTGGGCAGTTGCCCCACTCCATCCCCCACCCGCCACAGCAGCACTGGGGTGGTCGTTGCGTTGCCAGTGCACAGTAGGTCTTCAGAAGGCTGCCCAGACTTGGGTCTCCTGTTCTGTCCCCATCCACCCTGCTCTGTGAAGGTGGCCAGGCTGAGGGTGTCCATCCAGGGTGCAGTCCCAGGAGTGGGGCTCAGGCAGGGACATGGCAGGGGCTGGGGAGGGCCCAGAGCCATCAGTGCTGTCTTCACCCACATGCTTGGTGGCTCAGTTGCTAGCTCCCAGCTCCTGCACCACTGGCCTCAGTCCAGGAAGGGCAGGTGGACAGTATTGTAAACGCAGTCAGACCTTTGATGGTGCTGTCTCCTGTGGCCATCACCAGGTGTGGAGGAGAAAGGGCTGGGCCACACCACCCAGAGACAGGCAGCCCCGCCTACCTGCCCTCCAAGGAGAATGCATCCCATTGGCTCACTTCTGCGGGCACCCTGGGGCTGGGCTCCCAAACAGAAGTGTTCACTTTTCCAGCAGGTTGGCAATTGGCTGGTGGGCAGAGTCCATGGCTCAGACCCAAACATGAGTCTCTACCGGGTGTGTGCAACCACCCGCCAGCTGTGTTCTGTTCTTACTCCCCTGCTGGCCACCGGGCTTTCTCCTGCCTGTAGGCCTGGGTGCTGCCATGGCCAGAGGCAGAGCTGGAGCAGGGAGCAGAGGCAACCCCTACCCCAGCTCTTCCCGAGGCCTCCCTGGGCAGCGGGAGGCAGGGCCAGTCCAGGGCCATCCTGGCGCCCAGAGCCTTCTGAGGACTCAGCCATCCCGGGACCCAGGGACTTCCTAGCTCCCAGCACTGTCAGTGTCCAGGGGGGTAGAAGCCATCCTGACTGACAGCTATGTCTAAGAAGGCAGCCCTGCAGTCTCGACCCAGTGGGCCGTGTCCCCAGAACTTGGCCATCTGTGCCTCAGGGTCCTCCCTGCAGGTGGTGGGAACAGTGATGGGATCCTGAACAGGGCTGCAGACACACTGTGAGGTCATCTCCCAGGTATCAGGTTGGCCCTCAGGAGCCAGAGAAGGGAGCAGGGTGGGGTGACTGCAGAGGGCCCAGTGCCTCCCTCCAGATGCCTGTGCCCCGTCTGCTGCAGCTGGAGCTCCTCAGAGAGGGCCCTTGGCCATTGCTACACTGGGTGGTTTTAACACGACAATGACATTTCACGTTAAGGAGCAAACATCCTGCAATTTCTCTTGCTTTCTCCACTAGGCCGCCACCTAATGGCAGCAGATCTGAATTGCAGCCTCCGCGGGTCTTGGCATCCAATCCACTTTTGAGGTCTCCCTTCCCTGGGGTCAAGCTTCCCTGGGTAATATAGCAAACACCGAGCCTGGGGTGGGGGAGAGCAGGCCATAGCAGCACACGCTGGTGTACCACCGTGGGACAGAACGATTAGAACAAATTCCATGAGAAATCATATTAAAATAACCATTCTCTTAGACACCCACAAGACCACCCGAGAACAGACGACACCTCCATAAAGCCAGACAAATAAGTTACAGACCCCAGATCTAGGAATGGGGGGGCGGGGAGAACTCAACACGGGGTGGAATACGAATAAAAAATTGTACAGCAATTGACGAGGGGGATGGACAGAAAGGACACCTTGGAAGAAAACAGCCCCGGGGGTGGCCGGGTCAGGCTAGAGCAGCTGGGTGGGGCATGCAGGGTAGACAGGGGCCAGGCTAGCACCTGCACCCAGTGGACAGACTGCAGGCTTGCAGGGGCGGGGCTGGGTGGGGCCCCTTCTACCTGCACACGTAAACGTGGGGGTGAGGGGCATGCAGGCCCCAAGCACTCCACTCCTTATCAGCGAAATGTAAACACGGAGTCCCGCCAGCTCAGAGCACCCTGGACCGGGCAGGCCTGCGCTGGCCACCACTCCAGATGGCTGGAGACACCTGCCCCCCACCCGGTCAGGGTGGGAGAACACTCCTGCCCCACCCACCATGACCAATGGCTCTTTGGCTTACAGGCTCCAAAACACTTGGCCACCTCCAAGGAGCTGAGCTCAGCTCACGTGGCAAGTTCCTGCTAGAGTCCTGAGAAAACCGCTCCTGGAGCCCTCGCTGCCCCTCACCTGGCTCTAGAACACAGAGGCCCACTGCAACCGAGGGGGCTAGCCGAGGTGGGCACGGCATCTAGGACCACCGAGCTGGGAACTTCCGTAAGCCCAATTCCCAGCCACTTTGGTCCAGTGCTCACGGACACTGAGGGGCCTCACGCCCACTTGCCAGGCCCCAGAAATCCAAAAGCAAAGATCAGCATCCCTCACAGAAACACACCCACGGCTCTCGCTGGGGCTGGCACAGCAGGAGTCAGGTGCCTGTGTACATGGGTGCCTGTGTACATGTGTCAGCAAGCATGCAGGTGTGTCTGTGTGTACTGGTGTGCACGCATGTGCCCGTGTCTACGTGTCTGTATGCAGGTGTGCATGTCTGTATTTGCTCCTGCACAGAGGTGTCAACACGTGTCCATGTGTCTATATGCAGGTGTGTGTGTGTCTGCATGTGTACCTGTGTGCACGTATTTGATCCTGCCTGGAGCTGTTTCAGTGTGTGCTCCTATGGGCAGGTGTGTCTCCTTGTGTGCAGGTGCGTGTCTACGTGTGTCTGCATGCATGTGCCTATATGTTTGCGTGGAGACGTATCTGGGTGTACACCTGTGTGCAGGTGCCACATCTGCATGTGCACGGGGCTGGTTCTGGGCCTCCTGGCAAAAGCCCACCTGATGCCCACCCTCCGCTCTGGGAAGCCCACATGCTCAGTGGGTTTGGCAGTTGTGTTGGCACCAAAGACTGGAAGCAGTGGGGTTCTGGCCCCAGACATCTCCACAGCCATTCTTTTCCTAAGGGCAGGGGACAGCTCTGGCCCTGGCTCAGTGGCGGCCCTACACTTGGGTGGAGCCAGCTGCACAGTGCCTAGCTGGCCTCCGCCCTCCCTTCTCCACAGCCCAGCCAGCTCTGCGTTTGGCACTAAATGGCCCCGCCTGTCCTGTGCCCACCCCAGCTGGACACCAAGGGTGGGTGCTGCCATGTGCCTGCAGGGCAGCCCCTCCAACTGAGAGGCTCCACTGGGCCTGGAGGGGTGCTGCCACGGTCTGACCCCCTTCCTTTCAGCAAGACAAAGTGACAGCAGTGGACACGAGGCAGGGACTGGAGACGGTGGGCCAAGTCCAGGGGTGGGGGAGCCGGCTGGCCGCCAGGGGCTGAGCTGTGGTTATGCCGGCTGTGGGATATGGCACATAAGAGGGTCTTGGCGGTGAGCCAGCTGGTGGGACGAGTGGGGGCACACAGGACAGAGGACAGCCTAGATCAGGAACCGCTCGGCATCAGGGAGGAAGTCAGGCAGGAAGACAGGGTCTGGGGCGCCACAGTTGGCGTGTGGCGGGAAGCCCCTCAGCGGCAGAGCAGGCAGCATCTCCACCGAGGAGGGTGATGGGCTCTGGGTGGCAGGCCGGCCCCTCCCCAGCTGGGCCAGGCTCCCGGAGCTCCTGCTGCCTGCCAGCAAGGCCAGGTTCCCAACGGGGTCCACGATGGCATTGATGACTGCAGGGTGGGAAGGCGATGGGGGCAGCTGGTTGGGGGTCCCACCCTGCCCTCCTCCCACCAAAGGGCCTTGTGGCTGAGTGCTCAGGCCCCCTCCCCCACTGGTCTCCAACCCCAAGCCCTCTGGACAGCCCCACAGAGCCACACCCACCTTCCAACTGCTTCTGCACACGCCTCAGTTCCTTCAGGATAGAGCTGATCTCCTGGGAATGGGGTTGGATGAGGAAGCCGACCGCCAAGGACATGTGCCCGTCCCTGGGTCTGGAGCTGGTCACAGGCCTGGCTCAGCTTCCACCCCACCCCGGCCTGCAGGCCCAGGCAAGCCCACCTTGTTTGACGTCTTCAGGATGGGAACCTCATTCTCTGCATTGATCCTGGCTTCCAGGTCCTCCCACGCACGCCCCGTGTTCTGGAAAAGGATCCTGGGGACAGGGCAGGGTGAGGCCTGGTGCTACTGCCCCAGACCACCAGTGCCTCACCAAGAATCCACCACCTGCCCTCTCCTGGCCCAAGGGGACGGTGGGCAAGCACTAGGCTGGCAGGCGCCACGGCCTCGGGCTCTGTGCGGCCTCAGGGACGGACTGTTGGGATTGTGGCTGGGGGCGTCCTGGCAGTGGACCCATCTGTGTGCACATGTGCCCAGGCTGGCGCCCTGAGTGGACGTCACTGGGCACACATGCTCCTATCTGTGTGCATACATGTGCCCGTGTCTGCCCAGGCTGGCACCCCCACGTGGACGTCACCATGTCCATGGTCGTATCTGTGCGTTTGTGTATGCACATGCACACCAGTTCTGTCCAGGCTGGCACCCCTGCACGGACATCACCAAGTCTGCATGCTCCTGTGTGTGTGCATACCCGCATCTGCCCAGGCCAGTGCCCCCACACGGATGTCACGTGTTTGCATGCTCCTATCTGGGACCCGCCCTCTACCCCAGGCCGCTCACTTCATCTTTTCGGCGAGACTCTCTGTGTTCTCACGGATGGCATGCGACAGCTGGGACACAGGGTTCAGCATCAGGTTATCAAAGATCACCTGGGGGCACCGGGTGTCAGCACAGCTCCTGTCCCCTGAGCACCCAGCCCCACACCCACCCAACCTGGCAGGGCCAGTGCAAGGGCAGGGGGGCGTGCCTCCTCGCGGTTCCGTGGCCTCGTCTTGGAGGCCAAGGGGTCCTCACGGCTGTCATTCATGTTCTGGTCAAAGTCCCGCGAGTTCAGGGCGCCTGGCGGCACCTTCTGGAAATTGAGGCTGGCCTCAGGGATACGCTGCACCAGCTGCGGACGGAGGGGTGGGCAGTGGGGGCTGGGAGATGCCATAACTGACCCCAGCCCCACCTGCTTGGCATCCCACTTGATGCCCCCAACAACTAGCCGGGCCTCTGTCCAACAGCCTCAGGGTGTCGGGTGGCCAGTCTGACTCAGTCCCCACTGGACAGAGCTCACCTCCTCGCGGGCAGAGATGGTGGACGCAGGGGTGCTGGGCACATTGCTGAGGGTAGGGCTGTGGGTGGGCCCCGGAGAGCCCAGCGAGTCGCCATCCCCAGCCACATCATGGATCTCCTGGGCCAGGGTGACCACATCCTTCACCAGCGTCTGGCTCAACCTGGAGGGCAGAAGACAGAGCTGCTGGGTCCCACAGGCTGCCCAGAATGCGATGGGGTGGGAGGAGCCGGGTACGTCCACCCACACCCAAAGGCCCCAAATAAGTCTACCTTCACCCCAAGAACCCAGATGCAGGTACCTGCACCCCAAGGTCCCTGATAAGTCTCTCTGTACCCTAAGACCCCAGGTAAGTCTATCCATACCCCCAAAGCCCCAGATACATCCACTGCAACCCAAGACCCCAGATACGAGCACCTGCACCAAGACCCTAGGTACACACACCCACATTCCAAGACCCCAAACAAGTCTATGTGTACCCCAAGACCCCACAGACATCCACCCATATCCCAAGACATAGCTTTTTCCCAAGGCAGGGGCAGGACCTGGGAGTAAGCCCTCTACCACTGGCCACTCCGGGACTGGGGTACCCTACCATCTGAACACAGCCCCCATGCTCACGGCCATGAGAGGACAGAGAGGCAGGGCTAAGAGCAGGGCCCAGGCTGGTGGGCAGAGACACCCACCTTCCCTCTCCCTACCTACAAAGCAGTCTGTGGGGGCTATGGCACCATTCGTCACATTCCACTCAGCCAGTCACCCACCTGGCCACCTACCCATCTGTCCACCTAGCTGCTGATTCACAAGGCCCGGGACCCCTCCTGTCCCAGGGTGGGGCTCTGGCCCCTCTCAGCACTGACCCAATGCAGGGGCCACCCATGGCCTCTGCACAGTCCCCCAACGCCTGGCTCCAGGCAGCAAATTCAACTTTCTTAAAACTTGGTGGGGAGGAGGCGGGGCAAGATGGCGGACTAGGCAGAAGGATTGCACAGACCCTCTTCAACAAAGAAAAGGGAAACCAATTAACACAGACACAGAAGAT